TTTAACCAAGTGAGATTCACGAGTTGAGCTCAGACAAAGAGGAAGGTAGAGAGACACAGAAATTCAAACATGGAAACATTATCATTTTGTCTTGTTTAAAATAGATGTTTGGGGTGCTTGTAGTTGATTTACATAAAAGCAACCACTTGTAAAGTTCATCCATAAAATGCGAGCATAGTACACACACACACACACATCAAATACTCGAACAAGTTGAATAAGACGGAAGCATTGAAATCTCTTCTCAAAAGTAAAAGTTGGAAAAAACCACCCGAATTAAGCTTTAAATGCAATCTGTATTAGCTTTCTTTTCATTGAATGTGTATTTTTTATCCTTTTTCTCCATAATCTTTTTGATTCGAAAATGTTTTTCATTATTATTTATAATGTGTTGCGGTACACTTGTTTATTAGTATATAAAAGTCTCGGCAAAGACATCTCGTAACACTAAACATCAAAGCAGAGAGAGAATTTTCACATGGAATTTTAATGAAGGTTGAAAAATAGCAGCAATTAATAAAATATATATGCACATGAATCAACACCTCTTTCCTTCTCTCTCTTCCCCTCTGAAAATCGGAGCACATGCCAATTCAGTGAAAATTGTGTGCAATAAATAGAAATAATTAGTGGCGCACATATAGTCATGACATTTTCGGGTCAAAGACTGACACATACGCGTTCCAATGGATTTGTCTATGGTACACGAAGCTTTCATTTTTCATTACATGCGAATGTAAAATTTGGAATTTCGATTTTCTGGTATCCACTTTAAGAATTCCTTAAGCTATTCATTTTTTAACAAGCTGGTGTCAGTGATTAGTAGCTCATTTGCATTGCATTTACTAAATCGATTGTTACGTACATTTTCGGTTTTATTTTATTCGACTCAAGATTTGGTAGGTACTAAAAATACATTCCAAAAAAGTCCAACTGAATGCCTGTTTCACTCATGAATTGTAGATTATAATTGAGAGTAACAAGCGAATACATTGCTACTTAAAAATGCACCATGTTCTACTTTAAATTTAAAAAGAAACTTTTACGGTTTGACGACGGTAGTTGCAACTCAAATGGGAGAATAAACTTAACACTTTTTTAGACGTTTGATGTTGACATCATGCAAAATTGTTGTCATACACAACTTTTCCATTTGCTTGATCATGTTAATACCGGTGCGCAAGGAGTAAAAAAAAGATAGAAAAACTCTTGCAGCCAGTGTAAACATGGTCAACAAACTTTTGCATGAAGAGAAAAAAATTGACTATACTAATTAAAAAGTCTCATCAACATGAATCTCCAATAAAAATGTATATTCGAAGTTTTTATTTTATTTACATAAGTTTCGTTCTTCTCCGGCAACTTTTGAGCTGCCAACGAACGGTTCTTTTCTCTTACAGGTGTGAACAATATTCAAACGTTAATTTTCTTTGATGTACACGTTCATGGAAAAGAAATGTACAGAACGGATATTAAAACAATTCTCATAATAAACAGGCTTTCTTATTTTCTTTTCCTTTTTTTGGTGAACTCATCGATTTCATTCTCAGTTGTTTATTTCACGAGAATTTCACAGTACACCATCGACCAAAAATGTGCTGTAATAAATATGAAAATCCATTAGGATGCTGCCCTGTACATGCACCGACCACGGTGATAATATCCAAATGACATCGACTTAAGCTGGCATTAGTGTTGAAAAGTGGAAATGAATCGCTTTCGATTCCGCCTTAAATGCACTCAACGATATTCTTGTTGTTGCTGCTGCTTTTTTTCTGATTACCATTTACTCGGTGTGCATTTCGAATGAAAATCTTGGGTAAACCTTAAAACTTTCATTGCAGATTCATTTTTTATGTACACTGAAGTGAAACATATCTTCGGTAAGTTTTTTTCTGCAATTTTTTTTCTCTTCAAAGAATAAAAGCAAAGAAACGTACAACATTGACCAAAAACACCGAAAAAAAATATATGTGGAGTCGAGAAAATATGAAACTAAAGCAAAAGTGCAAGAGTTCGAAGATCGTCGTAGCGGTAATCGCCACAGGAAATATAAAAAGAATTTCCAACCGACAACAAAAATTCGCGTTCAACTTTTGTAATTAGTAGTTGAATTTTTTCTTCTCTCATACATTACATAAGGCAACGAGGAATCTGGGTTGTTGCAAAAATTTCAGTCTTGTAAAGCTTGAGAGTTTTTGGTTGTTGTTGAATTTGGCCGTGGTTCGGCTGCTGCATTTTGGGTTTTTTTGTATGCAGTTCATCAGCGAGATTTCATAGAAACACAAAGATCTAGCTAGCGGCGTGCCAAGCCAGGAAAATGCGATTAAAACAAAGTTGCCGAGAAAATATTTTATATGAAGAAAAAAAAGTAAATATAGTACGCTTTACCATATTATTCCACTTTATTTTATTCATTTGGTATATTTTTTATTTCAATTCCGTTCACTGAGCTCAATGTTTTCCATTTCATCCAATTTATCATAATTTATTTATATGAATTTCATGAATCATGATATGGATGTTGAAATTCGACGACGTGAGGAATATGCAATTTTTCTTGCAATCTATTCTTGTCGGTGCATTTTCTTTGCACAAATGGAATGTATGATATTTTTGCGGGCTTAACATAGTTGCAGACACGTATTTAACTACTTTATATGGTGCGTGCATTTGATGGATGATGGGAAAGAGTGGATTTTTTTTCACCCCACTCTATCTCCCTATTAAAAACGTTAAATATAGTGAATGATTTTTTTTTTGAATTAAAATGCAAGCATTTGTAAAATGATTTTTTTAATTCGTCTTGCCTTCCCTTTATGAACACTTCCATTAAACACTAACGACAAGGTGGAAAAAATAGCAAAACGTCTTTGAGGCATATTGTTGTACGGTCTTTGCTTTTTTGATGTAAAAATGATTTAATTAGATTTTTTTTTTGTATTTTTCAAGTAGGTCCCGAATCGAAGCTACTTGTAGCCCTAACAGAAAATTAAATAGCAAAATTCCCTTTTCAACAAGAGTGAAATTTTTCAAAATAGAAATCTTGGTTGTGATTTTTCATCTATCCACTTGTTCGTCAGTGCATCGAAGGTTTGTTAGAAAATCGAAGAATGGGTAAAAAAAATTGTGATGAACCAAGCAATCATTTAAAATAAACTCTTCTCTTTCATAATATTTTTCGTTATCTACAAAAAGTGTTTTGAGATCATGTTCAAAATTGTGCTACGTTGAAGCATAAAAGCGGTACAACCTTATGCGTTGCCACCGCTGCAGCAGACATTGAGTATGAGAAAAAAAAAAAGAAAAAAAGTGTTATTTTTGCTAGACAGAAAGAAATTAAAACACTCTGCGAGCGAACAAAAGAGAATTTTCCCAATGTATCTAAGCGTTGCCGACATAAAAGCAACCATTGCCAGTGTATTTTACGATGTTTAATGGCGTACTGATGTGGGAATATTATTTTCCGAAAAGAAACAAGACAGGTTTTTTTCCTTTTTTCCTTCATCATTTGATACTCTTCATACACAAGCAACACTTGTTCGCTTTTGTTCACACTAAGAATGTATTCAGAGAATAATGCCGCTTGAAATAAAAAGAAAAAGAAAGAAAGGGGAAAAACACGATAAAGATAATTATATAAACGATACGCTGAATTTATTTGATTTGTTTTTGCTTGAAGAGCACTCACTGCATGCACAATTGTAACAATCGAAAGCATTATTTTCGTTAAATTCACGCTTATTTTCAACGTAATGCCCGCGTTTCAAAAACAACTTTCGAAGATGAACACAAAGTTGAAAAAAAAAACGCTTGAATAATTTAATCATTTGGATAATAACTTACACTCGGTTTCTCAAACAAATTACAAAATTGTTTCTTATACATATATTTGCGCTGAAATTGGATGAGATGCACATTTAATTCATGTGACTGTTTGATGAATTGCGACATCGAAATTAGCCCCATTTTTTTCGTGAAGCACAAAGTATTGAATTCGTTTTTTTATATAGCAAACATGTTAAAAAAAAATGATACAATTTCATTTCAGCTCATGTGTTACATTGTTCGCGAGTTGCGACTAAATTTGAAACATCTAAAAGCAACGACAAAAACGAAATTCAACAATAAAATTAATATATTTTAATTTCGCTATCGACTTTTTTTTCTTTTGTTCGATCTAAATGGAACTCACTTAAAATGGTTCAATTTTACGTGAAATATGTGCCATTTTTCCCGTTTCCAACTCTAAACGATTCGATTACCATTGGGAATTCAGTTTTGAAACATGGGACAAAATTAATGGTGTGCAAGGAATGCAGAGGAGATCTGTCGTATTTATTGATGTGATCGATGGTGCATCATATCGAAGCGAAAAACAACGGGAAAAAACATTTATCACTATGTATATTTTATGCGTTAACTAACATTACCGAGTTGAAACAACTTCAATACATTTTCAAATCACTCGGTATGGCTGTTATTATTGCAATGAGAAAGAAAGAGAGAGAAAAAAGGAAATTGTAAAATGGTTTGCGAGGAAATTCCATTCATGTTTGCACATATTACGTTTTTTTTCTCTCTCGTCATGTTCTATCTTCGTAGTGTTTTTTTTTGATCATTTTGTCACGTTGCATTGAATTTAATTCCCAGTTTCAACGTACGGTAAAATCTCAATGGACTGAAGCTCGATGCAATTACTATCATTATTATTATTGTTTGGCTGACACATATATGTTGTTGTGTGATTGTAACGCGAGAGTGATATTGAGCCATTTTCCGTAACTTTGGATGCATTTAGTGAGAATTGGAAAAGTAGACGGTTTTGGAGAATGCACATAGCACTCGTGCCGAGACGAGATTAAAATGAACAAACAAAAAATATACACACACTCACACGAGAAAACAAACAAACATCACGTCGAGAAACGAACTGCAACACAAAAACGTTTTACAGAATAAAAAAGTGAGAATGAATGAATGGAACTAAGTGCACTCACTCGGAAGAACAATAACAGATGCTGTGCTTTTTTTCAACTTTATTTTCCCCTTCAGTCAGTTGTTCATTCAATTCATAGTTTTTGTCGCGAATTTTGTCATGTCTACGGTCTTTTGTTTGTTAGATTCTTCTTTCTATCAAACGTTGTGCCGGTATTTTTTAATTTCAACGACACATTTAATGTTTATCTCGTCAACCAACGTAGTTGGATGAGAAAAGCGTGAATCGGCACAAAAATCTATAAAATTTCAAAGGAAAATGAACAACAACAAAAAAATACACCAAAAACACACCGTTAACAATAGATCAAGTCCTGTATTTAACGTGGAAAAAATGCAACGCTTCTATTTTTATGCGTACAATGCTATATTGCGAACAAAACACCTGCCTTTTCTTTCACAAATTTAACGAATATAAACAAAACACATTTATTTCACCTTATTCAAAATGGATTTGGTTCTTTTTTTTGGAACACGAACTACTTTTTTGTCTGTTTTTGCTGTGACCAGCAGTTTTTTTTTTCTTATTAAAAGATAATCGGATTAGTGTTTTCTTTAGTGCAATTGATACTTTCTTTACTTTGTTGGTCAGTCAGCTTGTCAGACAGTTTTTTCGGTTGGTTTTTGTATGTCGATGTATCTTACGACCACTTTATTATAGTTACACCGACCAAAGAAATAATGCGTCCGTATGTGACGAGCAGTGAGTGTTTACTGACGGCAACAATGAAAAATCGAGAACAGGTTTACCCATTTTATTCAATCGTCATCATCCCATTCACAACCGACGACCGTTTCTACACCGTACTCGTTTCGAACCGTAGAGATTTCAACATTCCACTGTTGTTGTTGTTGCTTTTTCGAAAGCAACTTATGAACGTACGGTTTTGGTTGCACATGGAGTAGATGCAACCAAATGAAAATAAACAATAACCAAATATCTTCTCCGTTTTCTCCGCCGGTGGGATATTTTTCCACATTTCCATTCTATCGTGTTATTTCGTTTGGGACATTGGTGTTCCAACGCGTTTGCGCATTCCAATGATTTGAATTTTGCCGGTTGAAATGTAAAGGTTCTAACCTACAAATAAACAAACTGGTCAATCTGACAATCTGTATCTGATTTTTTCTTTGATTCTCCCGTATTCCCGAGACAAACTCCAGCAAACATTGCGGTGTGTTTGCATCAAACGTTCGATTTACTTTGAAGGGAAAAAATGGTAAGAGACATTCAACGGTTTTTTTTGGCATTTAATTGAATCTTTTAAAAAAAGGAAATCGAAAAAAGGAATGCATGTTTCCAATGTCAATTGTGCATAAAATTGAACGATGTGCGTTAACATCGTTTTCAGTTCGTTGTTTGCTTTTTTTCCCTTTGTTTCGACTGCACATTTTTCGCATTGTGGATTGGATTTGTTGTTTATCCTCAACGACTTGACAATTTTCATCCAATCATTCGAATAATTATCGTGTCTTACTGTTGACAACGAAAAAAGGGGTTCAACGCGTTGAAGCAAACAGTAGCGAGAAAAATTGTAAGAGCACAAGTCACATTTGTATTGGATTTTTAATCATTTCATGGCGGGTACTTTTAGAGCCACAGGCACTTCATCTATGATTGGGAGGAATGCATTGTGTTGTTCGTATTGTTAAAATTCATTTGATATCATGTTCGAAATGTGCTCGTTCAATCTTTAGTATATCGAGAACTAAATGACATTATGTCATTACAACTCGACAGAAATACATACACAAACAACATATATACAAATAGATTGAAATGACTTTGCATCAGTTTGTTGTTCGACAATAAACCGTAAATTCACTCACATCCAAGCGCTGATCAGTTTTAACAACAACAGCAAAACAAAGCAAAATAACAGAATGAAAAGGGGCGACAAAAAGAACGAATTATATTGAATGCTTTCGATGCTATCAATACCGCTGGTGGCACTCAAATGCAAATGGCATAGCCAGAGACTGTAGATGTCGATATTCGCTGTCAAGTTAAAAATATGCTTTTTGTTCAATTTTTTGTCTCTGTTAAAATCGTTTTCTTCTTTCGTTTTCGCTTTTTTTCACTTTCGTATCTTGTTCTCTTTTTTTTTTGTTTCACCCAGTTCACATTTTCTCATTTTATAACGAGCACATATTAGTGTCGATGGTTGAAAAGTCCACATACATGATATGCCAGCAGAATGAAAACGGAAAAATCAACGAAACAAAAATAAACTGGATGCAATACAGCAACAACTCTTGCCAATGGGATTAAAAATGCCATCAAATAAATTGGTTTCACCATTTCATTTCCATAGATTTTGTCGTTTCGACGACGTGTGCTTTTAGTTTGCATTTCGTTTTTCCACTCGCTTTTGCTTCACATGTGCATACACATAAACACAGTGCCTTTGTGTTGCTTTCGCTGTTTTTCGTTGTATTTCGTTATTATCCGTATGTTATTTCTCGTTTCTTTCGTTAATCCCTGTACTTTTTCTCGAGGCTCTTTGTTGATGATTTAGCTTTTTTTTGGACTCACTGACATTCAACGCCATCATAACCACTCCAAAACGGTTTCGAGTGCATTAACTTCCCAACATTTTTGACAAAACCATCTGTTCGATGCGAGTTTTCACAGCTGTCATTCGACAAATATCCACCGTCTTTCCTTTTGTTAGCATTCTGCATACAACAAATGAATTTCAACGGGTAGCGAATGAATTGAAGCTTCATAAATACAAGATATTTATGAAGTCCATGTCATTGGCAAATTTTCTCCACCGAACAATGGTCATTCAGTCAATTATGCAAATATTCAGCATCAAAGTGTACTAAAGCCGAAGTCATGCTGAATGGAATGAATAGTGTTCCGATAAGCCGTCAAAAAAAAAGACAATCGATTAAAGCAGACAACTATCGCCACTCGAATTTCTGCCGGCAAATTTTTATTCAATCAATTATGGCAAATCAATTCCAATCGTAAAACATATCAATTTTTTCGAAGAATCTGCTAACTGAGTCCAATCTATTTCCAAAAAATGAATTGCGAAACATCGACTTTTCAGTTTCATGAGCATCAATGTAAATTTCGATGATTGGCTTGTTTTTGGAAAATGCAAAATCTGTTCATGAATCTCTGTCGAAAAATTGTACAATTTTCAGCGATTTAATCAAGTTTGCTACGAAGCTTTATTTAGATTCCGAGAACTCTGTGCTTGTTAATTAGTTTTGCGCATTTTCAAGCAAAATCCACGTTGAATCACAACCATGTTGAAACTTGATGCACTGCGAAAAATACTTGGAAATCCGACCAAACTTCTCTTCTAATTTCTAACTGCACTTTGGTACGACACACAAAAAAAAAAATAAGAAGTAAATTTTCGCTAAACAACACCAAATTATGTAAATTTTCCTTAAAATAAATATTAGCCGCAAAATACATTTCGGCATCATTAATTTTTCTGTGTTGCGTATTTCGCGGCGAAAATGTTCGTTGTATATATGTGCAGTTGCATATTAATGAATAAACAGACATTCTAAATGCAAATACGCGATATTTATGATATTAGATAAACTTCATTTGCATAAACTTTGCTTACACTTTGCGTCTGTATGGTTTGGCATCGTTTTATCGAAATGGCATCATTTTAGTCGGAGGCGAATTCACTCAGCTATCACTTGATAGCTGAAAGTCGGTTCTCTCTTGAGGATGAGAGGGAATATATTGAAAAGCGGCACTTGTATGACAGCTATTGCATCAATCAAAACCAAGTGTAATGAATACGAAATTGTCGGAAAGTTCGCTACAATTCAACTATAAATCACATTCAGGAGCGGAACTGATGAAATGAGAATTGAAATCTATAGTTTCAAATGTATCTTTGATTGCTTTGGGAAATATATTGTTGTTGTTGCCGAAATTTGTTTTGAACTCATCAACCGATTCAGTCTGGGGAGACTTCATATTCAGTTCAAAAACCAATTTGCTTATCTCTTTCTACTCGCTTTAGAACTTTGAAAAAAGAAACAAATACACACAAAGTATTTCAATTTCTGTGTATACTCACTTCGATTCAAAGCGCACACTAGTTCTCATATTTAGAGCACACTGACAGTGCAAATAATAAAATTAAATAAAATTTTCGACAATCGTTAGTTTGTTGATGCCTCAAGTAAAGTAATAAACAGTTCACTTCATATTTTCCCATTTCACTTATTTAACTTAGATATTATTGCTTAAACGAATTGAAGTGTAAATCAACGTATGCATAGAAAGGATGGATGCCGCATCGCAGCGTACATTCGAATGTCAAACTCTTGTAATCTCAGGCCATTTACCGGCACAAGACTACAGACAGACAAATCAACACACTTCAAGATTATTCAACTTCTATTTATTTTCGGTACTGTATACATCGTCGGCGTCTTCACAAAATTTCTGTCGAAATCGTTGAACAATCTCTAGCAACATTGAAGAGTTGAAGATTTTTTATGCCCCAAAAACTCAAAACAGTGAACACGCTTAAATAAAACGGTATTGTGTGGTTTGTATGTGTGTTTTAAGTGTTTATCCAAATTGTGAATGTTTTCAGACAATTTCACTGAATAGTGAATACACCAAACCACGTTACTTACATCACATTTCATTTGTCTATGCTATGTTGTTGTTAGAGTCGTCAATTTTTGAATTTAATTCTTGCACATTTTATGAACTTTAATGCTTTCGTTGAATTATGATTGTTCGCTGAATGTTATTAGTTTTGAAGTTTGGCGATGTAATTTGAGTTTTTGAAAAGATGTACATTTTCGGTTGCTTGAAATATCATACACGGGTGTTGTTACCACTAATAATAGTTGATGAACGTGCTGTACAAAAGATATTCACCTAGTTTAACGATATGTATTCCCATTGAAAAATGCTCTGTTTTATGATTGTGTACGAACCAATGATAAGCTTCAATCAGTTCGGTATTAGCGAAGAATTTCAAATGAATAAATATCGTGTATTGTTGGAAATCTGGTGAAGGATAAATGTTTTCATTAACCGTTCGAGCATTGGTATTGGCCAAAGATGAGGCTGAAAACACGACAACCACTTCGATGTACAACTAATTTCAAATGTAAATGTTTGTACAGGGTAGTGGCCGAAAATATGCAAAACAACGCAATTTTTGCCCATTTATTTACATTCTGTTCGCATTTGGAATCGCTGTTATTTCGATGTATTGCTTTTTTTTCCAATTCATTACCAAACTTTTCTCATTCACATTGAAAAGTCGACGGCAAAGAAATATATTGACAACAGCTTGCTGCTATTGAATTGATAAAGTGCGACCAAATGCCGAAAATAAAATTGAAAAAAGAATAAAAACGCCCGTACTTTATATAGCCGTTGCGATAGATATACACTGAAGTGATGTCGAAACATATTTATAGCTCCTTTTGCTGCGTTTTTTTCCTCTCGTTATTATTCTCTCACTGCCATTCACACAATCCACGCCTAACTTATTATTTTTATTTCCTTTTCTCTTTCTCGTGTGTTTGTGTGTGCGAATGAGTCAGTGGATGAGTGTGAGTATCTGGCTGTGGCAATGTAACAGTGCTTTTTCTTTGAGCGTGTGTAATATGATGACTGTTGTCGGCGCATTTTGCAATTTATTATTTATGGTGATGTCTTTGACACGCCTCAATCGGA